TGCTGCTGCTGCTGCTGCTGCTCAACCCCAGATTACCTAAACCCGTTGTTGCATCCCATGGCTGCTGCTGGGATAGCTGCAGCAACTGCTGCTGCTGCTGCAGCTGCTGCTGCTGCAGCAGCAGCTGCTGCTGCTGCAGGCCACCCCAGCTGGTGCTGCCGCTTAAGGATGCATCCAGGGGCCCCCTGCTCCACCCAGGGGCCCCTGCTGCAGCGCTGGGCAGCAGCAGGTTGCTGCTGCTGCTGCTGCTGCTGCTGCTGCTTCCTAGGACCGGCAACCTGCTGCTTTGCTGCAGCAGCAGCGAGTCAGCCCGTGCTGCACCAGCAGCAGCAGCAGCTGCTGCTGCTGCTGCTGTGTCTGTGGTGGGGTATAGGCGTGCGGCTTGGAGCAGTTGCTGCTGCTGCTGCTGCTGCAGGAGCAGCAGCTGCTGCTGCTGCTGCAGCAGCTGCTGCTGGTTTTGTAAGAAGCAACCTCTAAGAGAGGGTACTGAGGAGGGCCCCCACAGCAGCAAAGGGGGGGCCCCCACAGCAGCAAGAGTATAAACAGAAACAGCAACAGAGAAAAAGTTTTTTTGTTTTTTTGTTTGTATATCTGCTGCTGCACAAGGAAGACCCCAACGAACTGCCATCAACAAAGGCCTCCTGCTGCCCCTGCTGCTGCTGCTGCTGCTGCTGCTGCTGCTGCTGCTGCAGCAGCAGCTGCTGCTGCTGCTGCTGTGTAAGAAAGCTAAGCCTGTTGCCCGCCAGCCACTCACTGGGGGCCTCAGCCGATACTTAAGTGCTGCGCTGCTTCTCCATAGATTAACCCCACCAAACAGCTGCTGCTGCTGCTGCTGCTGCTGCTGTTGCTGCTGCTGTTGTTGCTGCTGCTGTTGGAGCAGGGGCAGTGCGGATGGTTCGAGGCAGCTGCCACGCAATACAAAAACCAACCAGCTGCTGCTGCTGCTGCTGCAGCTGCTGCTGCTGCAGCTGCTGCTGCTGCTGCTGCTGCTGGTAAGGATGTGTTGCAGATGCAGCAGCAGGTNGCTGCTGCTGCTGCTGCTGCTGCTGCTGTCATCAGCAGCAGCAGCAGCAAAACCAATTAAATAAATGCTGCTGCACCCCTCTATCCCCAGCAGCAAACAGCGTAGGCCTTCACAGCGCTGGAGTGAGACATGAGTTCCCCTTCGAATTGCTGCTGCTGCTGCTGCTGCTGCTGCTGTTGCTGCAGCAGCAGCAGCAAGATTATATTCAGCAGCAGAAGATAGATACACTGGGGGGCCCCCCAGCAGCAACGCGGCCTCATGGCGTAGCTGCAGCTGCTGCAGCACCAGCAGCCCCTTCCTGCTTAGCACAGCAACACATCTGCTGCTGCTGCTGCTGCTGCTGCTGCTGCTGCTGAATGTGGGAGCAGCAGCAGCAGCAGCAACCTCTCGATGCCCCAAAAGAAAATGAAAACAGCCAAAAAGACTAGCAGCAGAATAGCAGCAGCAAGAGGGTGGGGTGTATATACACCCCGTGCTGAGGGGAGAGAACACAGTCACACCAGCTTTGCTGCTGCCGCATACAAGAGGTGCACATACACCCCAACTGCTGCTGCTGCTGCTGCTGCTGCTGCTGCTGCTGCTGCTGCTGGGGGGCGGCAGCACAAAGAGATCCTCAAGGGGGGGGGAGAGCCAGTCGCGCCAGGCCTCCACCCACTCTGCTTCGGGTGTAACTCCACCCCAGCTCTTGCTGCTGCTGCTGCTGCTGCTGCTGCTGCTGTTGCCCCACCAAGCTGCTGCTGCTGCTGCTGCTGCAACAGATGGCTGCCGCCGCTGCAGCAGCTGCAGCAAGCCATCTGAATAAGACAGCAGCAAACGAGGAGAGGAATCAGCATCACCACAAACGTGGCTGTCTGCGTACAGAAACAAAGCGCAGCACACGCTGCGGCTGCTGCTGCTGCTGCTGTTGCTGCTGCTGTTCTGCTGCTGCTGCTGCGGCTCCAGCAGCAACTCCGCCAGGGAGTCTGCTTCGCCTGAGTGCAGCACCAACGCGTCATGCGGGGCGCTTCCCAGCAGCACTTGCTGCTGCTGCTGCTGCTGCTGCTGCTGCTTGCTGCCTGCAGCAGCAGCAGCAGAAG